GTGGTGTATCAGAGATTGGGCTCGAGCAGGACTTGAAGGCACAAGTAAGTTGCATGGGGAAGTGGCCAAAATGCCTATGGTCTCCACTCTAGTCACATTACCTTCCCTCTCCTAGTCTGCACCTATGGCATCACGGGAAGTTCCTTATGATCAGACTGAGGAAGAGAAAACTTGTGCTTGTTTCACAGATGGTTCTGCCAATATGCAGGCACCACACGAAAGTGGACAGCAGCGACACTGCAGTCCCTTTCTGGGACTTCCCTGAAGGACAGTGGTGAGGGGAGATCCTTCCAGTGGGCAGAACTTCAAGCTGTGCATCTGGCTGTTCACTTTGCATGGAACAAGAAAAGGCTGTGGCCAATGTTACTGTATTATCTGGTGTGATAGATCCTGATTACCAAGGGGAAATTGGATTGACATTACATAATGGGGGTAAAAAAGAATATGTCTGGAAAATAGGAGATTCTTTAGGATGTCTCTTAGTACTTTACCCTGTGGTTAAAGTCAATGGAAAATTATAGCAACCCAATTCTGATATGACTACTAATGGCCCAGACCCTTCAGGCATGAAGGTTTGGGTCACCCCACCAGGCAAAGAACCATGACCAGCTGAGGTGCTTTCTGAGGGCAAGGGAAATACAGAACGGGTGGTGGAAGAAGGTAGTCCTGAATATCAGCTACGACCATGTGACCAATTTGCAGAAATGAGGACTGGTGATTGTTATATTTCTTCACTGTATTTGTGCATCAAATATTTTTGTTTCCTTCTGTTATGAACTATGAAACATAAACAGAGTTAATGCATTTCAGTTGTATATATGTTGGTGTATCATGTGAGGCACAAATATGACTTTTTAATTGTCCTTATTTAGAAATTATATATGGTTAAGGAGATGTGTACAACTGCCAAGTTGACAGGGTAGACTGTGATAGTTGCAGTTGTGTGTAAACTTGGCTGGACCACAATTCTGAATGGTTTAAGCTGTTGTTGTGTGGGTTATTCCCATGATGAGATTGGATGTATGTGTTTTGAGCAGCCAATCCATTGAAAGCGAGTTTCCCTAGGGGTAAGGCCTACTTTCAACATATTTATGGACAGCCTGGTAAAAGAGACACTCTTCTGTGGATCAGGATCCTGTTGTGCTGCCTAAAAATGTCCATGAGCAAACAATCCACCATTTGGCCTGGGGATTTGGATTCATCATTCATTGGAGTCAACAGCCAGTATACTGCCTGCCAACCTTGAACTCATCAGCCCCTGCAGCTACGTGAGTCAGGAATAGCCTCCAGCTTGACATTTGATCCAAGAATTTGGGACTTGCCAGCTTCTAAAAGCGTGTGAGCCATTTTCCTAAGATATATTTTTTTTCTCTTTCTCTTTATATAAGCTTTATTGCTTTTGCTTCTCTGGAAAACCCAGCCTAACACATTCACTGTTTTCATTCAGGTTCTTCTACTAGCTGGTATGTAATCCACTTCTTTATTCTTCCCTTCAAAACTCAAGGTTCCATGATATCTTCTGTACCTGTTTCAATTGGCTTCTTATTTCTTTGTTGCAGAGGGTCTGCATAGCTTGCCTGCCTATTCTGCCATCTTGCTGTAAGTCCAGCAATGACATCTTTTGTTTGACATCCTCTTCCAAACCCAGCTTCCATTTTTGGCCATTCCCTGTTGAGGTATTGCTGTGACTTTTTTGTATATTTTCAGCACAATTTTACTTGGATCTGATATTGTATGATAATTTCCACATTCTGTTGTAACCTCTTTCTTTGAAATGGGCACAAATATCAAATATGGATCTCTTCCAGTCAGTTGGCCAGGTAATTATCTCCCAAGTTCCTTATCACAGAGGAGTGAACACTTCTAGCAGTGCATCATTTAGTATTCTACCAGTTCCTCAAGCCATTTTTTCCAATGCGTTCAGTGCAGCTTGGACTTCTTCCTTCAGTACCATAGGTGCTTTATCATATGCTACCTCCTCAAATACTTGGACATTTATCAATTCTTTTTGGTACAGTGATTCTAGGTACTCCTTCCGTTTTCCCTTGATGCTTCCTGTGTTGTTTAACTTTTTGCCCAAAGAATTCTTCAATATTGCAACTTGAGGCTTGAATTCTCTCTGCAATTTTTTCAGCTTAGAAATGCAGAGCGTGTTCTTCTCACAATTTTCCAACTCCAGGTCTTTGCCCATTTCATTATAATATTTTCATTTTGTGCTCTCCATTTGCCCTTTAAAATCTCTAGTTCACCTCTTTTACTTAATCATTTCTTCATTTTACTTTAGCTACTTTACATTCAAGAGCAATTTTAAATTTTCTGCTCACATTTTTTTTTCTTTTCTATCTTTTTAATGACCATTGGTTTAATCACTTATGATTTGCTGATGTCACCATACAACTCATCTGATCTTTGGTCATTAGTATTAATGCATCAAATTTATTCTTGAGATGGTCTGTCTACTCAGGTGGAATATATTCAAGATCATACTTTGGCTCTCGTTGTTGTTGTTATTTGCTGTTGAGTCAGACCCGACTCATAGTGACCCCTTCCAAGGTGGTATCACTACGGAAGTAGATTGCCCAACCTTCCTTCCAAGGAGTGGCTGGTGGGTTTGAACTGCCAGCCTTCTGGTTTGCAGTCAAGTGCCTTAGGCACTACACTACCGAGCTCCTTTGGCTCTCATAGGCTCTCATAGACTTGTTATAATTTTCTTCAGCCTCAGCTTGGACTTGCATATGAGCAATTGATGGTCTGTCTGCTGTTTGCCTCATAGCCTTGTTCTGATGATATTAAGCTTTTCCATTGTCTCTTTCCACAGATGTAGTTGATTTGATTTCTACGCATTCCATCTGGCAAGGTCCAAGTGTGTAGTCATTGTTCATGTTGTTGAAAAAAGTTATTTGCAGTGACTAATTGGTTGATCTTGCAAAATTCTACCATGAGATCTCCAGCATCATTACTATCACCATGGCCATATTTTCTAACTACTGATTCTTTTTCTTTCTTTTCACCTTTAGTATTCCAATTACCAGTAATCATGAATGCATCGATTGCATGTTCAATTTCAGACTGCAGAAATTAGAAAAAATCTTCAGTTTCTTCATCTTTGGTATTAGTGGCTGGTGTATAAATTTGAGGATTGGGTATTATTAGTTATCTTGGAGGGAACTCTCCGACCTATTGCCTAAGGCATCTGACCGCTAACCAGAAGGCTGGTGGTTCAAACCCACTAGCCACTCCTGGGAAGGAAGGTTGGGCAATCTACTTCAGTAGTGATACTACCTTGGAAAGCCAAGGAGGGGCTGCTATGAGTCCCATCCAACTTGTCAGCAGTGACAGTATCTTGGAATCCCTCTTATCTGGCAACCCCCACCCCACCCTGTTTTAGTTCTACTTCATTAAGCCAGCCTCTGGCAATTACTTCTAACTAGGCTAAGGGAGCTCTGGTAGCATAGTGGCTAAGGCACTTGACTGCTAACCAGAAGGCTGGCGGTTCAAACCCACCAGCCACTCCTCGGAAGGAAGGTTGGTCGCTATGAGTCGGGGCCGACTCGACGGCAAAATAACAACAACAACAGGCTAAGGAAAGCCTTGGAAACTTTGAAGGGAGAAGGGAGAGTGAGGAGAAGTTAGCTAGAGGGCAGAGTGGAAAACCACGCCTCTGGTGGCATCCTCTGCCCACAGCAACCCTTGCCTTCTGCCCTTAAGAATAATGGCGCCAGTCGTAGACGCACTTCCGTCTATTGAAGCCAAACAGAAGAGGGATAGGCAAGAGATCGGAAGTGACCGCCCCTGGGCACTCATTAAGGCTTCTCTCCGCGTCCCAACCTTCCTCAAGAAGATGAGGCGGCTGGGAGGCTGTGGTCGAGCTGTGGTTGCCCGATGACAAGTGGGAGCCGGCACAGCCTGAGTGCGCGCTGCCTCGGCCGCCGGCCAGTTCGGGACGCTAGAGGTGACCTTCGTGCAGCTGGCGACAGGGGGTGGGGAGTCGTGCGCGAGGCTCTGTGACGAGCCGCCGCCTGCGTGATCCTGCTGATAAGCAGCTGGCGAATGTGTTTCGGAGGGGTGCCGGCGGCCGGGTCGGGCCCGGGAGGCCGGCGCCGGACCTAGGGAACCTGGGCGGCGCGCGTGGGGCTGTGGCGTGGTTGGGCTTTGGGCCTGGTGGGCAGGTGTGTGTGTGTGTGTGTGTGTGAGGTTTGAAAGGCCTTTCCCTAAGGTAGGTGTTCACGCTTGGCTGACCGGGTCGTTGTCCTCACCCTGCTTTAAGTACACAGCTCCTTCGCGCAGTTATTTCATGATCCTCAGTTGAAGGATCAGGCTTAATTTTGGCCACTGGGCTCCTCCATTCCGTGCACACTAGCATTAGACTAGGGTGTGAGCATTTATCGTTGCTTACGTTTTTTTCATGAAAAGCCGCCAGGAAAAAAAAAAACAAACTCAAAGTAACTTTTATCTCTTGACATCTTTGACTGGAAGGTTGATGTCAGCTTTACACCTTATCTCCTTATTTTGTGTGATGAGAGCTACTGTTTTTCAAAACGTCAGTAGTGCATTGTAATCTTCTTGGAATTTTATTTCCTCACTCTCCATCTCCATGTCCACCCACTTACAGTTTCAAGTTAAGTTGAGAAACTTAATATCTTAGTTATTGTTTATTAACTTGGTTTCCTCTGACTGACCCAGTTTCCTGATGTAAGAGTCACATGCAGTCATAACTTAGCTGTAGTTTCATCTTCACCAAAAGGAAATAAAATAGAAATTGCAACCAAGATTTTGGCCAATAGATTTTGCTTAGTGAAAGAATCACTTCAAAGTAGTCTTTAGATTATCAGTTTAAAACACCTTTCCATGCTCCCCCCCCCCCGCAAAATTCTGTAGAATTATTTTGGCAGTTTCATTTAATTGGGGAGTAAAAAGAAACCTGTAGGTTCACTAGTTGGCATGTTTCTCATTCTCTTTAATTTGTACTTTTCTAACGTTTCTTTTTTTTCCTCAGTAGCATAATGGCAGAAACTGCTTCTCCTTTGAAGCACTTTGTGCTGGCTAAGAAGGCAATCACTTCTATCTTTGATCAGTTATTGGAGTTTGTTACTGAAGGATCACATTTTGTTGAAGGTTAGTTCCTCTGATTCTTAAAGAGATTATTTTAAGAAAATAGTATTGAAAATAAAGGTGTTTTAGTCTTACAGTGTTAGGTTTATTTTCACCTTTTTTTTTTTTAAATTGTAAATATGTGTGTAACAAAACTTTGGACATTTCAACAGTCTTTATATGTTCAGCCCTAGTTATTGAACACATAAAGGGCATTGTGCTATATATATACTTGGAGGATTCCATAACGCATACAATTTCTGCCCTCTGAAAGAGGAAGATTAAATAGGTATTAATAACAACCAAGAAATGTGTGATAATATGCAGTACTGGTTTAAGTACTTTACTATATTAATACTCATTTAACTCTTTTATCAATGTTGAGGCAAGTTCTGATAACTAATTTTAAAGATGAAGTCATGGTACAGAACTTCCCAAATTACATAGTAAATACCCAGACTGAAAATCAGGCTGCCTCATTTAATCAATATACTTGTTTCTTCCCTAACTCAGTAACTAAGCCAAGGCCTCAGAACTATCTCCTCCTCCTAAATGAAGCTGGGATGTAGTCAGAGAAAGGCAAAAAAGACTTCTTAAATGGATGTAATTGTTCATGCAAAAAGGAGCTTTGGTGGAGTAGTGGGTAAGGCAGCGGTCCAAACCCACCAGGTGTGCTGTAGAAGGAAGACAAGGCAGTCTAGTTTGTAAGGATTTATACACTTGGAAACCAGAGTTGGAGTTGACTCAAGTAGCAGTGAGTTTGGTTTTTGCTTTTGGTTCATGCAAAGGTGGTGATGGTTATTGTATGCAATCGAGTTAATTCTGACCTATAGTGATGTCATGTGACAGAGTAGAACTCCTCCATAGAGTTTCTTGGCTGCAGTCTTTGTAGAAGCAGATCATTAGGTCTTTCTCCTGTGGAGCCACTGAGTGGGTTTGAACTGCCAACTTTGATGCAGCAGTTGAGTGCTTAACAATTGCCAGGTTAACCAGAGCCTTTTGAGAAAAAGGCAGTGAGGAATATTTTAGTAGCAAATACTTCTTTGGAGATAATTGTTGAAATTTGTCCTGGTTCTTAAGATTACATGGTCCTCAATAATGTACAGTGAAAAGGGAGAGATTGTGTACATTCCAGTGGAACATTTGATAGGTTAGTAGAGTCAAACTTTTCCTTTTCCCTCCTAATTCTTAGCAGATTTTGAGCTCCTTAAAGGCCTTATTATTGTGCCCCTAAAACCAAAATTAATGCAATTTAAGTTTTGTTGTTGAATGTATTAAAAAAAAGTAGTGCTATAGAATGTTGATGTTTCTATTTGGGAAAGAATTTGAGCTGATTTTTTTTTTTTTTGATTTTTTTTTTTTTTTTTTTTAGGATTTGGGTGAAGATTTGCAGAGTAAATTCACTTTTCATACAGCAGTTCACATATACTTTGTCTCATGTCATTGACCAAAATTTCCAATGCAGCAGCTCCCCTCCCACTTCCTCCCCATAGTTACCTCCTCCCAGTGTCCATCCCTTCATACCCTTCTGCACCTGAGCTATCTCCCTGTGCATAAGCTGCCCTTCCTTCTCCCATGATTGTTCTCTCCAGGGCGTGTGTCTACTTGAGGTAAATGTTTAACTCACATGCCTGTACTTTGTTTGGCTGGAAACCATAGTTGTGGGTTCAATTCCAGACCTGAAGGGCAGCTAGGGGCCATAGTCTCAGTGGTTACACCAGTTGAGCTGACTTTTGAATATGTTTTCTAAAAAATTGATAGGAAGAGAAAATGAAGTTAAACATAATAACATTGGTGTATTGAGCCTGTTACAGATTGTGCGCATGCTAGGAGCTAGTAAATACCAGCTTTAGGAATGGAATTGAGTTTAGGACCTCAGAAAAAAATGTAGCAAAAAAGAGAGAAAGCGAATAAATCAGAAAGAAGAGCAAGAATAAAATGCAAAACAAAAGTGAATGTAATGATACTTAAGCCAATCTTTCCATTATTCACCTAGTTACTCATATTTTATTAATACACCAGAAAGTTATGGTGATATAAGCAAAAGTATAATTAGATGAGCACAGGGTAGGTTTGAAGTGGGGGTGTTTGTCTCTAATTAGGAACATTTACATAGCCAAATGAATCTCCATGTCTTTACCTTCAAAAACAGTTAATAAATATGCAAGTGTCAGATTTTTTCCTATTCTTTAAGTGTAAACAAAACTGAAGTACTTGTCTGTTTTTCAAAGGTAAGCCTTCCCAGGACTTCTACCTGTGGAGAGGGGTTGGGGCTAGAGTGGGCAGCTAACTCTAAACCTGACAAGAGTGGGATACAATCTCCAATTCTCTTTTCTCTTTGCCTTCTCATGGTAAATGATCTGTTGTGTTCCAGCCTTCTGGGAAGCAAGCAAGAAGTCTTTCCTAGCATGGCGGCCACATTGGGCCGTATTCCTGTTTTTCGGTGTTTTGGTTCAGACTTCACTCTAAAAGTATGGGTCCTCCTCAGATTAAAATCTGAAGATGCAGCTTAGAGTGGAACCAAACCCAATTCTTTCAAGTAGATTCCAGCTCATAGCAACCCCTGTAGGCTGTAAATCTTTACAGAAGAAGATTGCATCATTTTTTTCCTGCATGGTGGCTGGTAGGTTTAAACCACCAACCTTTTGGTTAGCATCCCAGTACTTTAACGGCAGTGCCACCAGAGCTCTTGTAGAATAGAACAGTAGGTGGGTATTAGGTTCTAGTTTTTCCATTGAGAAATTATTTTTGTCTCAGGTGAGTATTTTGTATTTTTGAGACCTAGATGAATAACAGATATTATTGACTGGGCCCTTGGCCTACACAGGCAATGCCTCATTAGGATATCTCTTCTTGGAGATTAACAGTTTTTGATGGTTTTGAAATTCTTATGGCAGAGTTCTTAAGGACATTGCTACAGAGTATGCAACTTTTATGAGATACTCAGATTTCTAACTGTGAATCTTTTTATCTTTCAGAGAGTATTTTAATGTTATGGAACAAAGCCAAAATAAATATGTAAAAATATCTGTATAAATATTTTATTGTTTAATTAACTCAGTATTCATTTATATCACTTTTTCTATACCATTTTAATTTTGCAGCAACATATAAGAATCCAGAACTTGATGGAATAGCTACTGAGGATGATGTGATAGAAATACAGGGGTATAAAAGCAAGCTTTCTGTTATTGGTGAAGTGCTATCTCGGAGACACATGAAAGTGGCATTTTTTGGCAGGTAATCCTTTATTCCTTCTCAAGGTTGTTGTTGTTATTGTTGTTAAGTACTGTCAGTCAAACCCGACTCATAGTGACCCCTCCTTGGGTTTTCGAGGCAGTATCACTACGGAAGTAGATTGCCCTTTCCTGAAATCAATTTTTCTTGGTCATATCCCTAGCTTTGTCTCTGATGTTTTAGTAAATGATGTTAACCCCCTTCCCCACCATGTTTTCTACCAATGCAAAATGTTAAAGTTGTTAGCATGTTAAAAAATTGCTTATTTTAGCTCTCTGGCATAAACTAAAATTTTATGTAGATCAATCATATTTTTATCTTTTGAAGATCTGATCTCTAAGAATTGGATCTTAACCAGTTTTAAGAATAGAGATAAATGATAGGTATTATTGTGACTTAACTTTTTAAACTTAGGTTGATTATCAGGTATGTCTTCCCAAAGGACTCTCAAACTCATGACTCCCATGGGAAGAATAGGAAGCCCCATAGTTAATGCAGCTGCCTAGTGTCATGGAGTGAATTTTGCTATAACATATGCATTCATTTAACAATTAACTCTTTAACTGCCTATGTTTCATGTGCTGTTAGGCATTATGCTTTCAAAGAGAAATACTTGGTTGCTCAAATAAAATGTGGTATATACTATAGAGGCATTCATTTACTCACTAAGTTTTTTTTTTTTTAATTGTAATTTGGGTGAAAATTTACAAAACAAATTCACTTTCCGTACAGCAGTTCACATACACTTTTGTCTCATGACATTGACTACAATTTCCCACAGTGCAACAGCTTCCCTCCCACTTCTCCCAATAGTTAACCTCTTCCCAGTTCATTTACTCACCAAGTTAACAGGCCTTCTAAAGCTGTTTTCCATCTCAGCGCTTTTGACCTTGCCTTTCCTACACCTAGAATTCTCTTTGCTTTTGTTCTGCCTGTCTTCTTATCCTTCAGATCTAAATTTAAATGTTACTACCTCAGAAGCTTTCCCTGAAAGCTACCTAAAGTATTCCTTATTAAGTTTTATCTATTTAAGTCTCTGTTTGTGTTCTTTAAAACTTTTCACAGTGGTCTATTGTGTTGGTTTTTATTGTCTGCCTCTCCCACTTGGCCAAATCTTGACTATATCCTCAGGGCATTAGAGTCACAATTGAGGTTAGTCCATAAAAAGTCTAGGTTAGGGTGGAGTAGAAGCAGGAGGTGATGACTCAGCTGCCTACTTGAAAAGGCAAAATAGGTATTAGCTTTGGTCTGAAGGGAGCTCTGGTGGCATAGTGCCTAAGGCATTTGACTGCTAACCAGAAGGCTGGCGGTTCAAACCCACCAGCCACTCCTCAGAAGGAAGGTTGGGCAATCTATTTGTGTAGTGATACTGCCTGGGAAACCCAAGGAGGGGTCACTGTGAGTCATGTGTGTTATGTGCATGAAGGCACATAACAACATAACAGCAAGGGCAATCTACTTCTGTAGTGATACTGCCTTGGAAACTCCACTGGACAGCAGTTAGTTAGGTTTTTTTCAGTTGGTGTGAAAAGGTGTAAAAGGCCATTTCATGCAGAAAGCCACAGGTGGGAAGGGAGAGAGAAGAGACCATGGTGTATTTGGAGCACTGTAAATCCTGTTGAATTTAGGGCATTAGAAAGCAGTATCAAAACAGGAGGATAGAGAAGTAAATGGGTCAGATCATGAAAGACCTTGTATCATGGTAAGGAGTTCTACAGTTTTATTTTGAAAAATTTTTTATTGTGAAAAATAGAGCACAGTGAGAGGGTCTGGATTGGGTGTGACAACTATAACCTTGGTTTAGTGGGGAGAATGGATTGAATGAGGGTAGCAGGCAGTTGCAGTAGCTTAGGGAATTTATAAGACCCCAGCTATGAAGTTGGAGAGGAAAGATTGATAAAGAGATACTTGCGAGTAGATTAGAATAAGAAGAGTAAAGATAACTTGGTTGACCAAGTGCCATTCATTGAGATGGGCTTGGTGAATGAAAGTGAAGTATTTGGTTTTGGATATACTGTATATGAGTGTACATGTTATGGTACTTATTAGACATTCAAGTGGAGATACCCAGAAGGCACTTAGATATGTGGGATTGGACTGAGGAGAGTTCTAGTCTGGGGATAAAAATTTAGGAATCGTTGGCTTATGTTGGTGACTGAGAGCACAGGGGGGAAGTAATAAAAAGAAAAAAAAAAACAGGATGAGGGAGAGAAAGAAGTGCTTTTGATGGAATTGAGAAACCAAACAAGTAAAAGGAAAATTAGGATTTTTTGTTGTTGTTTAATGGTTAGGGAAGTTCGGGTGACAAGATGTCTCAAGTTTCAGTATGCCTAAGAGTCTGATTCTGTGGGCTCACAGTGGGCGTGAGGAATCTGCATACTTAATAGGTACCCCAGGTGATTCTGATAGGGGGTGGGGGACAACCAAACTGCTCTTTAGGATTGTTGCAGTAAGGTTTGTGCAATGAAACGAAGGATTACTATTAAGGGACAGAGCCTAAATTTACCTAAAAACAAATAACTGTGAGGTTATGAGTGATCTTGGCAGTTTGTGGTATAGTAGAATAGGAGCCAGTGTTGAGATAATTGAGACAAGATGGTTTCTTTTGGAGGTAGTAGGGGTTGATATCCAGAGTATTAAGTAAAGGCACAATTCTAACACTGAGAGAGAGAGGTGAAACGTATACCACAGAAATAGGATTCTGTTTTTGCAATGAAGTACTAACCTTAGGCCCTGGGAGGTCAGGGCGACCGCAGGGTTGAGCAGATATACAGAACTCAGCTCTGAATGGCCTCTGGAGTTTGAGTTGATTTATTTGAAAGCAAGTCTATCATGTGGTTATGAGCTGTCCTTAGGTTTCATTTCCATCAGAACTATTACGATTACTATGATTGTCTGACAAATGACCTAAAACTTAACAACCTAAAAGCAACTATTTTATTATGCTCACAGATTCTGTGGGTCAGGAATTCAGATAGACTGCAGTGGAGTCTTTTTGTCTTTGATCCATAATTTTTAGAGCCTCAAATGGAAGGTCTCAAAGATGAGAGGGTACTCAAAAATGGGAGGCTAGAATGATCTGAGGGCTTCTTTAGTCACATGTCTAATGCCGGGGCTGAGATGACTTGACTAGGACTGCCAAGTATAGCATCTACCCAGACTTCTCCATTTAGCTTGACTTTTTCATAGCATGATGAACCTGGAGTTTTACCTGGCAAGATGCCAAGTGTATATCTTCCAGTGACTAAGACAAGCTTTGTTGTCTTTCGTGGCCTAGTCTTAGAAGTCACCCAGTTTCCCTTCTGACAAAAATTATTTGTAAACAGTCACAGATTAACCGTCATTTAAGGGAAAGGGACATTAAACCACATCTTGTGATGAGGGGCTTGTCAAAGAATTTTAGGACTGTATTTCAAATTGCCACAAGAAGCAAGAAGTTAACATAACTTAGAAATGTCAGAGAGAGCTTTATGGAAGAGTTGGAATTTGCTTTTTCCTATTTTATTTTTCTGAAATGTACACTGCTATTATTTGTGTAAGCCAAGTTATAAACTTTTTTCATTAAAAATAAAAAATTTGAAATTTTAACAAAATTTGAGTTCTAAAAATGGGCTTTTAAAAACCAAACCCACATCCTTCAAGTCAATTTTGACTCACAGCGACCTCTATTGGGTTTTCAAGGCTATAAAACTTTGTGGAAGTGGATTGCCTCATCTTCCTGTGGAGCAACTGGTAGGTTTGAACTGCTGACCTGGTAAGCAACCAGATGTCTTATCCACAATGCCAAAAAAACTGAAAAAACACATTTTTACTATTATGTTTTGTTTTTCATGATAGTATATTTTTTCTTTCTTTAGGACAAGCAGTGGAAAGAGCTCTGTTATCAATGCAATGTTGTGGGATAAAGTTCTTCCTAGTGGAATTGGCCATACAACCAACTGCTTCCTGAGTGTTGAAGGAACTGATGGAGATAAAGCGTATCTTATGACAGAAGGATCAGATGAAAAGAAGAGTGTGAAGGTATAGTATCTAAATTTTAGCAACATAATATATCTGAAATAATGTCCTTTGACTTTACTGTGTGTAAAAGTTTTTAAATGTCTGTAGGGCTGGATATTAAAGAGTCATTAATATTTCCATTCATAACTGTTAAAGCCATCACTAGTATTTTGAACTTCTAAAATTCTTTTGCTTCAGAGCCAAATTATTAGAAGAACAAAACTGATTCTTGGCTTAGCATAAAAGTAAACTTGGATTAAAACTTTATTAGTTTTTTTTAAAAACTAATAAGTAAAACAGTAAGAAGAATTTTTTTTTTTGTATGTCACATTTCATTTTTTTTTTTTAAATTTTATTGTGATTTGGGTGAAAGATTACAGAGCAAATTCATCTTCCATAGAGTAGTTCACATACACTTTGTCTCATGACATTGACTGTAATCTCCCACAATGCAACATCTCTCTTCCCACTTCTCCCCATAGCCACCTCTTCCCTCTGTCCATCCCTCCCATGCACTCCTGCCCCCCCGAGCTGTCCCCCTGTGCATACACAGCCCTTCTATTCTCCCATGAATGATCTCTCCAAGGAGTATATCTCCCTGATGTAAATGTTCAGCTCATATACCTGTCTTTTGTTTGGCTGGAAGCCACAGGAGTGGGTTCAGTTCCAGACCTGAAGGGCAGCTAGGGGCCGTAGTCTCAGGGGTTCCACCGGGATCTATCAGAGAAGCAAACCTGGTCCCTTTTTTTTAAAAAATTATGTTGAGTTTTTTCCTCGTTCTCCCACTCTACTCAGGATCTTCAGTATAGGTCCCCCTCTGAGTGATTGACACTGATAGCCGGGCACCATCTAGTTCTGGTCTCATAGTCATATAGGCTGAGGATCACATGGTGTACCACTTCCTTGGACTAATTGTTCCATGTATCTTTAGTTTTCTTCATTCTTCTTTGCTCTGGACAAGGAGAGACCTGTCATTGCATCTAGATGGCCACTTGCAAGCTTTTAAGACCCCAATTGCTACTTGCCAAAGTAGGATGTAGAACAATGTTTTGTGTAGTATATTATGCCAGTTGTGCATAGTTCCCTGTGACCATGGTCCTGAGCCCACAGGTTCAACTACTTGTTCCCTCTGGGTAGCTGGCTGTGGCCAAGAAGTGACTAAAACCTTATCCCTTGTCAGCTCCGCTATATACCTAGAAATAAGAATTATTTTTTTTTTTTTTTGTTATTTGGTTGAAAGTTTACAGAGCAAATTCACTTTTTATACAGCGGCTTACATACACTTTGTCTCATGACACTGATTGCAGTTTTCCACAATGCAACAGCTCCCCTCCTACTTCCTTCCCATAGCTCCTTCTTCCCTGTGTCCTTCCCTCCCATGCACTTCTTGCCCCCTGAGCTATCTCCCTGTGCATACACAGCCCCCCTATTCTCCCATGATTGATCTCTGTTAAGGAGTGTATCTCGCTAATGTAAGTGTTCAGCTCATATGCCTGTCTTTTGTTTCGCTGGAAGCCACAGGAGTGGGTTCAATTCCAGACCTTAAGGGCAGCTAGAGGCCATAGTCTCAGTGGTTCCATCAGGCTCTATCAGACCAGCAAAACTGGTCTTTTTTTTTTTTGTAAATGATTTTGAGTTTTGTTCCATATTGTTTTCCCACTCTGTCCAGGATCCCCTATATAGATCCCCCTTCTGAGTGATTGACAGTGGTAGCTGGGCACCATCTAGTTCTTCTGGTCTCATAGTCATATAGGCTGAGGATTGCATGGTGTACAGTCGCCTGGACTAATTGTTTCTATGCATCTTTGGTTTTCTTCATTAAGAAGAATGTTTTGAAGTTTGTTGTCATTGCTGTTTAATATCAAATCTTGCCTTTAAAAAAAAAATTTGTTCAAGAAATTGGACCCTAGAATCTGACTGATACATCTGGAGCTCTCTGGTGGCACAGTACCTAAGGCATTTGACTGCTAACCAGAAGGTTGGTGGTTCAAAACCACCAGCCACTCCTCAGAGGAAGATGGGGCAGTTTACTTTCGTAAGGATTTACCTCCTCAGAAACCCAGTAGATGGTTGCTGTGAGTTGAAATTTACTCGATGGCAATGAGATTTGGGTTTTTTGTTGTTTGTGTTGGAAATTACTCTTTTCTTAGGAATTTTTAGTAATAACATTTATGAGTATTATATTTTTTATCAGGTAACAGCCAGTGCCAATTCTCTATATTTCATAAATTTTGTTAAACCAGTGTTACTAGACTCTTTTATGTAGTCCTCATTGCACAGTGGTGAAGTATTTCAGCTGCTGACTAAAAGGTTGGCAGTTAAAATCTATCCATCAGCTCTGTGGGAGAAAGATCTGCTTCTGTAAAGATTACAGCCAAGAAAACCTTACAGGGCAATTCTACTCTCTCAGGGGTCATAATCAGTTGGAGTTGACTTGAAGGCATGCAATAACAACAACGAACTTTTTCATCCAAAAATAAAACAAAAAATTAATATGCAAGATGTAGAATGTGGGCAGCACCCATGCGCTCAACCCTGTAGAATTACTCAAAAGAAGCTGTTTTTCAGTTATGATCACTTTATCTTACATTTAAAGATTTATTCTGTGAACACAAGATGTTCATATTTGAAGATCCATGGTATTTTAATGTATGCTACACTGTAGGTGAGGAGCTCTGGTAGCATAGTGCCTAAGGCACTTGATTGCTAACCAGAAGGCTGGCAGTTCAAACCCACCAGCCACTCCTCAGAAGGAAGGTTGGTCAATCCTACTTCTATAGTGACACTGCCTTGGAAACCCAAGGAGGGGTCGCTATGAGTCGGGGCCGACTCGTCGGCAAACAACAACAACAACAATAACAACACTGTAGATGAAGTTGTAGGTTCTAGTAGTTCTGGTTCCGTGAGTTTGACATTTGATTTCAATCAGGTAACTTCATCTATTCGAGTTTATCTCCTCAGAATGAACATGCTCTTCAGATTAGTTATGAGAAATAAATGTTATAAAAATACTTTTCAAACTGTTAACTCGCATTATTTTTTTGTAATCAAGATTTGTACCAAATCATAATTGAAACTACTGTGGTTTTAGGTTCCCAAAGGAAAGGAAAGTATGCAGTGCTATTTTAAAGCAGTCTCTCACTTTTCCTTATCTGTGCTCTTTATTCCCATTCTTCTTTCTTTATGCTCTTTTCCTTCTACACTATTCCCAAATTAAAATGTTTACCTCAAGTAGTGACCTGCTTTAAATCTCAGGTTGATTTTGAGTCTTATGCTGCAGTAATTTTCCTAGGAAAAGAAACACAAAAGTAGCTAGTATTTTATTTAATGCACTAGCCACTATTCTAAATACTTAAAGTAACTCAAACCAACCTGCCAGATATGTGTATTTGTTTTAATTTTATAGTGATGTACCAAGTTTTTAGTTCACATTTCTATCAAAAAATTTGTGAAAGAAAGTGAAAAAGAAAAAAAAAACCCTACCCTACTGAGAATTGTCCTTATAGGCATTAACTTGAAGCTTAGTCCATCTCTGATCAGGGCTCTCTTGCTTACTTGAAAATAGATATTGTTTGGAAGTATATGTATTGATGGAAGTACATGTATTGATGCTCTTTATTTATTTATTCATTTTGTTTTAAACTTTTTACGTTAATTATATGTTTAATTTAATACATGCATATTAAGTGTGTTGGATTAACCCATTAATAAATTTTTGTCAGAAGTCATCTTAGAAAGACAAATGTTTTAGTGAATTTGAATGAAAAGAGAAGGCACAGTCATTGGTTTTAACTAGGGCAGTATAAATGACTGCCTGCTGAGAAAAATCCTTTATCAAGAGAAGAATGTGTCAAGCTTCTGTTGTGTTGCTTAGACCTTATTCATATGGAGTTTTAAAGCCTATCCTAATTTAAAAAAACTTTTATTGTTCTTCCTTATTATCAAGCAGCACATACTCATTTCAGAAGAATCAGAAGATATAAAAAGGCAAAAACAGAAATTTCAAAACTCATCTCCCAAAACCAGTAGAAACTGTTTGGTATAGAGTTTGTGTTTTTTAAAGAAAATAGTTTTATATTGTGTGCCCTGTTTTCTGATTTTTTTTTTTCCTTAATCTAAATTTCTTTTTGTACCAATAAATTTCTAGAATATCAACTTCAGTGTTATATAGGATTTCATTGACAGGGTTTCATTGTTAGGCATTTAGAATATTTCTAACCTTGGTTATTTTTGCAGGGTGGTGTGAGTAAACTGTTTTAAGGGAACTTTTTTTTCCTAGTTGATAATTTTAAAACAGGCTTCTTGAGATTGCTCAAATGGAGGGGGATTAAAAAAAGATTGCTTAGATGGTTTTATTTTAGATTTTTCACAGTTCTCCCTTTTGAACATATTTTACAAAGTTAAATGTTATATTGATTCATAGTATTTTTGGTTTTCACTGAATTTTCTTATAAATAGAAATTTTCCCTCCTTACTCCTCAGACAGTTAATCAGCTGGCCCATGCCCTTCATATGGACAAAGACTTGAAAGCTGGCTGTCTCGTACATGTGTTTTGGCCAAAGGCAAAATGTGCACTCTTGAGAGATGACTTGGTTTTAGTAGACAGGTAAAATTACCTATGAATTACATTTTCTCCTGGTAGAGATTTAGTAGAATAATGCTGCTTACTTAAAGTTTTAAATATGGCATTGCTGCTTTGTTCTTATTTGCTAAATTGTCAAGGAGCAGATAAGGTGAAGTATAC